AAAAATAAACATTTTGTTTAGTAAAAGATTCAATTTTATTATTCTGTTTCTATGAAAGCAGATTGTAAGAAACAGATACTGGATGGTTGCTGAGACTAATTAATCCATTCCTCTCTTTTGTGTTAAAATAGAAACCTTATCTGTTGAAGAATTACAGGGGGTTTTAACAGTGAACCCTGTAGGAGACCTATCTCAAATAACATCCACTATATTTCTTCAGTAATTAAATACAGCAGAACACAGACTAACTCCCTAAACAGTTTTAATCTGATAGTTAAAATTTAAAATTCTGTATCAATTAATCAACAGGACATGTTTGTTATAGAAACACTAATGAGTCCAAGATTGTCTTTATCTACTTGATGTAATAGGTCATGGATTATATAATATTATCATCAACTCTGCACCAACTGGACTAATGAAGACTGGCATACACCATGCAGTGTGCTATGAGGGTAAAATCTGTCCAGGAAGTATCGCTTCTGCTTTGAATTCCAGCTGCCAATTGTGCCCTCCATCCTGCACGCCTTACAAGGGGAAAACACGCTGGAATATCGAAATCAAATGAAATGAAATGGGGTTTAACGTCCTACTGTTTTGCTCCGAACTGGGCTAATGAAGACGGGCATAGGCCATACAGTGTGCTATGAGGGAAATTTTGCCCGGACAGCGGCACTACGGCCTACTCTTATATCAAATTCCAACTGTCAAGGGATCTTTTACATGCACGCCAATGTGTACACGGGACCTCGTTTTTTTGTCCCATCCAAACGACCACGCTGGAATATCCAAGGGAACTGTAACCAGGTGGGTTACTTCCATAAAACCAGGAACAACTGTATAATCTGGATAAGGATTTATTGACCAGCAACAACATTAAAATCAATTTACAGCTAAAAAGGAATGAACAAGACGATGTGCTTTGTGTAATATACAATGTACAGGAGGTAGAAGACGAAATTCATTTGATAACAAATTGTAAAAGACATGACGAAAAAAGAAAAGAACTGTTTAGATTAATTTTAGTTCGTGAACCAAATTTTTATAAACTGAATGATTTACAACAATTTAAAATACTGATGATGAAAAAAAATATTGAAATTTAAAATGTTTAGGAGCTTTTGTATACAATTCGTTCATGTCTTTGTAAAGTTGTGCATTTTTGTATAATTATGTCCATGTACATGTATGTATCCTTTTGTTTGTTTCAAGTATATTTCTAATAAGACTATTATTTCTATTTGTATATGCACATAGCCTTTTAAGGTTTTTTTATGCAATAAAGTTTCTTCTTCTTCTATAGATGACAATATTCAGTATGTAATAAAATCATTAATATTTATGATTGAAAATCATGGAAATATATTCTACAAACATTGCTTTGAAATGCTTGGTTATAGAACATTCTCGACTAAACACCGGGATTATGTCTGTGATGCAGGTGCATTTATTTCCAGGGTTCTCTGTGTACATGTGGGGGGTTTGGATGCCCTAGTGGTCTAGAGTGCCCCGCTTCAACCTCTAGCTGGCCGGTCACCTCTGGCTTGCAGTTGTGGTTTTGATACTGGTGTGAGCGTATGTGGCTTGGAGATAGGGGCACCTTCTCAACTGCGTGGGTTTACTCCGGGCACTCCAGTTTCCTCCCACAGGAAAGCCCCCTGCGCGTGCGCTAAGATAATAAAAAAATGAAAATAAGACAATTTTTCTGCGATATCACCTTCGGTGGAAGCGGACGTTGAACACTAAGTACAACAACATGTGTACATGTATGTGCATGAACAGCACCATGATGCATGTCACAAAGTTTTCAGGATTACTTCAGAATAGTTCCATATGTTATATACATTAACATTCTTTAACAAGAATTTAAGATGGAATTCACAAGACAAACAATACTCATGTATGTAAAAATAATACTGCATTGTGGACCTTATTTTCATATGGTGGGCTGGACAAGTACAATTTGTCATTTTGAAATTTCACTACATTTTTTCTACCCTTTTAAAAACAGTTCTTCTTGAAAAGGAATTCTTACCTTATACAACATACATGTGCAAGGACTGAGATTACATATTATTTTTTACCTCTAAAAATAAAGCACCTGTCACACATATTGTAAGGTACAAATTGAGGTGTTGTCAGACACAATCTCTCTGGAGCATGTCATGCTGTTTGGCACTGATTGTATTTTTTCAGTGATTTTAATAATTTTTTATACATGTTTGCCACAGAGTTTAAATATGTCAGGAACTAATTGTGTTTTTTTCATTGATTTTAGTAATTTTTTTATACATGTTTGGCACAGAGTTTAAATATGTCAGATATTAGTTTAGTAATATGTTTATTTACATGTAGGCCTATTAGAATCACCACTATTTTTCAATATGTCGACCATTCAGGCCAGAGATCTATTCTGAAAGCAGACAGTTCCCTGTGTGCAGTACATGTACATGCGAACACCTTAAGCTCATATATCCAACAATTGTTTGTTTAATTTATGGAAATCACAGTTGACACATCCAGTCACACAAATTTGCACTTTTACAGTTAATGACTAAACATTTAGAAATTAAAACATTTTCTTTGCCCTTTTCTACTGACACAAAGTTACAAATTTTCAACAGTGGGTGTCGTCGGCTAAAATCAACTAAAGAGAGAAAAACAGAAGTAGAAAACTTGACATAGACAGTAAATTGGTGTTAGAAAGTAAACAAAGACATGTGATCTATGCAAGATGTTAAAATTTAACACAATCACGACAGGAGCAAAAGGTTACGCAACTCTTTGATTCCCTGCTTTAGTTTTTTTTAATCAGTGTTAAGTCACTTTTCGTGCCTGGATGATTTTTCTGAATGCTTGTTCATTGACAAAAGTTGTTTAGTAAGCAGGTACAATGGCCGATGTGTTTGTTAACAGTATCCCAATGTAATTATACCGCCAGTTTTTTCTCACACATCATATTTGATAACGTATAATTTAGATTGACTATTTGATAAGAAACCTTAACTGATGCTAAAAAAAACTGACTATGAATCATTTTATTTCTAACCGCAGTGATTCTCCCACTTACATGTATAGAAAATTCAGGATAGAGAGAGAGAAATGGGGTTTAACGTCTCTTCGACACAAACTAGGTCATTTTGGGACTAACATATGGTTTAATTTTATTTCAATAAATTGCTTGCACGTAGGGGTCTTTAGCAGTTGGAGGAAACTGTAGGACCCGGAGAAAACCCACGAGGTTGGACAGGCGACCCTACTCCTTGTCACGTACAACCGGGGATTCGAAACCACGCCAGCTGACTCAATGGCAGGCCTTATGATACAGCATGCACGTGCTAAACATTCGGCCATCCAACTCCCAATTCAAGATAGACACTCACAGAAATTTGAGCAATCATTGCACTTCTATCTATTCCACTAAACACTTTTAGAAAATCAGGTGTCAAATTCAAACAAGAATCTTTAAAACTAATATTGCATTCTATAGCACGAAGAATTCCATTAACATCATAAATATTCATATCCCTCAAAAAAACTGTGATGCCACTTTTTGGTACATGTATATTCAAGCAACCAAATGCTGTCTGTATTGTTTTTAGTTTGTAATGTACAATGTACATGTAATTGACAATTGCTGACCACTACATGTGTGTTGTAAATTCTAAATGTGGTCTGTATTTTTAGAATGTACATGTAATGAAACTGACATGATTACCAATACATGTACCTGTTGTAAATTCTAAATGTGGTCTTGTGTTTTTAGATTGTAATGAAACTGACATGATGACCAATACATGCCTGTTGTAAATTCTAAATGTGGTTTATATTTTTAGTCTGTAATGTAACTGACCAGTGCTGACCAATATGTTGTAAATTAGTTGAGTGTTTAAAGTTTATCTATAGATAATAAGCAGGTTCTATGGTACATATGTACATGATGTAATCTAACTATAGGGAGGTGTTCAACTAATTATTCTATGGCAGATCTGCCAAACTTGGCACCACTGACCACCTCTCCAGATTGCCAGGGGTAATAACAGAGATTTGAGGAAAGAGGTGGCTTGACACTACTGGAGATTAGTTTAGTTTAGATTTTTCAAAGTCTATGGTCATCTAACATTTCTGAATCTGATATGATGTAGGAGCTTTTACTATATACATGTATCAGTGACCATACTAAATGAGCTTTTGATGTTACCATAATCATTCTTCTACTCTTTTTTAATGTTCATGTAACTGTTGGATTTTAAAACATTTTTAGTAATCAATCTTTTTAATAGTTCCTTCATTTGAGGAAAGAGATTGCTTGACACTATTTGATATTTTTCTAACTCTGCGGTCATCTGTAAGGTACATATAAATATCAATGGCCAAATATTAATGAGTATTTGATGTTACCACTATTGTGGAAAGGCTGTTGATTTAATGTAATTGTTAAGATACTATAAACTGTTTCTAGCAGTTATGTGAAAGGGAAATTTTATTGTGGTACATGTACTTGTAGCTGCAAGTTTAATGTCATGCTCCCACAGTACTTACATGTATATCACAATTAAAAGATGCATCTCACTCATAGCACAAGCTTTACCTTGGCTGTCACCATCTCCAAGTACTGGCCCAACATTGCTTAATGGCAATAATTGGACCAGGACTGGGGTTCCCTCCACTTGGATTGACAATAGAAAATATTTGTTGTTTATGTTCGTGGGGGTTAGTCCAGCATAGGGTGGGGAAAGGACAACGGAAAAAGGAAATTTGTCACACCCATCCCATACATGACTCTAGGGCAATTCGTCCCCGAACAATTCATCCCCCGGGAACGAGTTGTCCGGGGACAAATTGATCCATAGATAGAGTGGAGATTTGCCTTTTTAAGAAACAGTGTCTAACAGGAATTTATTTTTATTTCAGTGAAAATGTGTTAATGTGTGATATTTATACAGGGACGCGCCACCCCACCCCTCACATTTACTCCCCTATATTTACACTAAACTTACCTCCAATAATGCATACTGAGACCGGGACATGCCTTACAATTGGCACACTGTCGTCCACATTGTGAAACCATTTCATGATTAAGCTTGGGGCTCTGGAAAAAACAACAAAAGGTTTACTCATTAAAATCTTGCAGATAAACTTTCACACAATTAATAGGGAAGGATTAGTAGATCTAAGGGATTCTATTATCTTTAGGGAGATTGACATCCATTGCATTGAGACAGGTGATCATCTAAATAAACTTCAAATCTCTCTGCCCTTTGGCCATTTTATTTGTATGAACCCCTTCTAAATAAACATAAAGTTAGATTTGTTTTTTTTTGGTAGGGGAGTCAGGGGGGATTTCACGCTGGGTATCAGAAATATTTGTTGTCTGTTCTTTTGGGGATCTTCATTTCTTATCATTATGTGAAGCCATACATGTATATAAAAAGTTTAAAATAATTCTTTTATTTGAAACAGTTTGTATTTGTTAGTTCATCCTGACAATGATAGGCAAATTACATCGACTGTGTTTGTGGGCTAAAAAGTAGCCAAATACAAAATAAGTTCATTTTTGCATAATAATCAAGAAAAATCGCCTTAATAAAAAATAAATGCTAGCGTCGGTCCACTACAGAATAACTCCATTGCCATTTATAACAAACAACATTACCGGCTATTTCAAATATAATACATGTATAGACCTAGAAATCGATGTACAAATTATATTAACATAACAGTCTGTTTATTCCATCTTACCGGTGCAGGCTGAATTTCAGCATATTCTGGCGTTTGGTCATCCACCTCATAAACAGCGGGCAGAGAACTCGTTGCCATTTTCACTTCTAAATTATTCCACACTCGAATTAGTTTATGAATATTCCACAATAATAACTAAGGCGTAAGAATATTTTTACATTCCGACACATACAGAACAGTACAACCAAAACAACACATCACTTGAAATAAACCCAAACAAATCCAATACAATTCCAAAAAACTTTTTGAAAAAGTTGCAACAAAGTTGCTAAAAAGTCACACTATGTTTACAAACAAACCGCATTATCCATGAGGGGTATTTAAAAAAGTTGACCAATGAATGAATAAGAATGAAATCCGTGTATGAAAGTCAAATCCAGCCGCATCAGGGTAAAATCCATGTAATATCCACAAAAAAATAACACAATTCCCAGTCAAAAGTTGACTACAGAGAACTTCTAAAAGTGTACGTCGATTACCCGACTCATCAGGTGAACAGAAATACTTTTCATTTAGTTTGGCTTCCACTGTCTAACCACACCCACTGACCGCAAGACGCTACTGACGTCATTTGATTGACAGGAGGGTTGTGTTTCACGGTAGCTAATTATATCCAGGCGATCATAACATGGCACGTTCACATGTGGACAGTACGATCAGTTTGCAAAGTATTATCGCATTTTTCTATTTGAGTAGATTCGGACAAAAAAAAACCCTTTTAAACAGCAGAACATCTGATTATCGCGACAATTAACAGGGGTTACAATTGTGTCATTATAGGATTAGATAAAAAAAAAAATACTTTATATATCTGGGAAACAAAGACTACGTTTGATTGACAAGCAGGTTGAGCGCGCGCTTCTGTTTTTCACAGGTAAGTAGAAAAACGGTAAAAAGTTTTGACGCGTGGAAACAGTAATCGGCCATCTCCAAAAAACCTTTTATTTAAAATATGTAGCAAATTAACTTTTTGAAATTATATATGTATGAAACTACTTTTAATGCTTGTGTATATAATTATGCTGATCTCGAATCTTGTTCCAAATTTTGATTGCATTTAAACAAATATCAGGACGTCTTCTGGCTATAAAGTATATTTCGCATATAGCGATAAAAAGAAAGAAAAAAACAGCAGTAAAACGGTACAATCTTCAAAAAGGCAAAAGTCAGTCACATATGGAAGAAGCAAATAATCTTAGAAGCGCGTGCAGTGACAAGCCGAGCTATAAATCACTTCCACCGTTTCCTAAACATACGACTAGATACGTTTATCAAGTCCATTTCCCTCATATTACACAGTAGTAATATGGCTAAAAGATCGAGTCTAGAAAGCAGTCGGAAGACGTATGATTTTTGTTTGGTTAAGAAAATAAACTGGCGTGCGTCGTCTATCAAATACTACTCCATATTAGAAATAAACAAGTTCTTAAAACACGTGAAATATCATGATGTAATATTTACAAATGGCGGTTACAAATAACAGAATATTTGATTTAGCTACCGATCTACGCATACGATTACTACAACAGTTATTGAGGGCCTGGGCCCTGTTTCACGAAATCTCAACTAAAGATTAAATCCAAATTTTAGTAGATACTTCAATTTTAATTGGCTAAGCACTAAAATCAATCTAATATTATCCAATCAAATTACTAAAATTTGGATTTTATCGTAGTTAAAATTTCGTGAAACAGGCCCCAGACGAGGAACTTTGTCTAGTCCTGTAGATGTGCATTTGACACTGAACCCATAGCTCAATATGGAAAGATTTTGGTACGACTACTATTTCAACATCATTTGTTTAATCTAAGAGCGGCAATAAATCATGTTTCAACCTATGGGATCCATTATAATATATTATATATTATTAGTAGGTATGTAACCTTTAATATATTTGCACTGTAACTCATTAGAAAAGTATATATTAATAACCGTAAACCACCCGGGTCCCTGCGTAGAAACCAATTTTACGTTGTTATGTTGTACCTCAACCCCCCGCCTCTATGATATGTAGCTAGCTATTAAGTATAATGGCGTGTCATAAAAATACCCGTCGTATTAATAATACTCTAATTGTCTCAGAGGTTAGACTCTGGTGAGTAGGGTGCAAAACAAGAACTAACCTGTACATTAAAAATACAATCATTATTAACAGCTAAGAAGAAATGAAATGAAATGGGGTTGAACGTACTACTGTTCTGCCTCGACTGGGAAAATGAAGACGGGCATACGCCATACAGTGTTCTATGAGGGAAAGTTTGCCCGGGCAGCGGCATTATGGCCTATTCTTATACTGAATTCCAATTGTCAAGGGATCTTTTACGTGCACGCCAATGTAACACGGGACTTTGGTTTTCGTCCCATCCGAACGACTAGACAGCTGTCCTGTCCAACAGCTAAGAAGACACCGTCGTTATTTTTCAAACCCGTTCCTTACTTATAAGTTAATAGTGAAATGAAATGGGGTTTAACGTCCTCCTATCTTTCTGCACCAATGGGGCTAATGAAGAGGGACATTCGCTATCGGGAAATTTGTCCGAAAAGCAGCGCTACGACTTACTCTTATTTCGAATTCTAACTGTCGAGGGTTCTTTTACGTGCACGTCAAAGTGTACATGGGACCTCGGTTTTACATCCCATCTAAACGACTATAGACGCTGGTCCTTGCCATGCCCTCCATCATGTACCACTGACAAGGGGAAACCAAACTGGAAAATCCCGGGGGAAAACAAGGAAATTGCGTCTCGTATACTTGGTACGAAAATAACACACCCACACATAGGTGTAGTTTATTTCGGAATGGTCTCTGAACGGACTCAGGGGATGCTCGATGGTCATTCCTGAACGTCCTAAATTGCAATCAAGTGACACGCAATTGATTCCTGTCACAGTTTTGCCTGTCCCATGAACAAATGTGACGTGAACAAAATCGTGACGTAATCAAACGTTTTAGCTATGCTGATTGGTCGAGATATTGTCATGATCACTCGATTGACACCTTTCGAGGGATTGAAGGAATTGAATTTTTCCGGAACGTTCAGACTCTAGTATTCCGTTTTGTTTTGTGAAAATAAATCAAACTAAAAAATATTATTGTTATTTCTTTTACAACGGGCGCCAGTCCGCTAAGTAAACGAAAGACGAATTACGACAGTTCCGGATTATTGCGTGACTACACTAGAAAACAAAACGAAGAAGACAGATCGTCTTTTATAAAATAGAAAGAAAGGGTCTTTTGGTAATTAAATCTACTGCAAGAGACATTAAAACCACCCCAAATAAGGTTACCATTAAGTAACTTCACGGCTTTATTTAAATCTTATTATAAGAAAACTCCCTGTTTAAATTCAGACGAAGAGAAGTAAAAATTAAGTAATTTCACCACTTTATTTAAATCTTATTATAAGATAACCCCCTGTTTAAATTCAGACGAAGAGAAGTCACCATTTAAGTAACTTCACCGCTTTATTTAAATCTTATTATAAGAAAAGCCCCTGTTTAAATTTCACACGTACAAGTAAAGGCCATTAACGTCATATATATCCTTTAATAAAGAAATTAAACGAAACGAAAGGTCTAAGTCAATATAAATTGCGGTGTATTATTTCAAGAGGAAGGCTTAAAACTTCTGTTTGCGGACATCACCTACTCTGCGTCTATTGTTCAAAGGTGTCGGCTTTGATTGTCTGATGAGCCGAGACGAATTAAGTCCGGATAATCCACAATTAAGTATACTCTTTGGTATTAGTGTGTAGGATAATCTGGACTACTTATCAATTCCCAAGGCGCGTTTTTGACCCCTTCCTTGTAATAACAAACAGATTTTAATGTTATTTGCGCAATTTAAGGAACAGCAAACCGATTTAGGATAAGTGTCACAATTCAGTGGATAAATATTAAAGCGTTTATTTAAACAAGGCAGTCAACAGATTAAAATATTTACTGTCTGCACCACACCAATTACAAAACATATTTTGACACGTGCTCTTAAAAGGGCAAGAAGTCCATTCATGGCATCATAATATGTTGCCTTTTAACAGCTTTTAATCATATTAATTGTTGACTATAGAAATTCATACAGTTTAAGATTAAACTCCGGTACTTGCTATAGTCTTGAATGATAACCTTTGTTTATCTCCCTATAACGTACAAGGACAGCTGTCTAGTCGTTCGTGCACGTAAAAGATCCCCTGACAGCTGGAATTCGATATAAGAGTAGGTCGTAGTGCCTTTGTCCGGGCAAAATTTGCCTCATAGCACACTGGATGGCGTATGCCCGTCTTCATTAGCCCAGTTCGAAGCAGAACAGTAGGACGTTAAACCCCATTTCATTTCATTTCATTTCCCTATAACGTCACCCAATTTCTTGCCTTTTAAAAGCACGTGTCAAAATTTGTTTTGTAATTGGTGTGGTGCAGACAGTAAATATTTTAATCTGTAGAATGCCTCGTTTATTTGGGTAGCCTACCGATTTAAGAAATTAAGAGTTTTCAAACATTGCATTTGAGAAATATGGAGGTATGTAAGATTACATACGTTTGTAGATGACCAGGGTGGTTGGTTGTTATACATCAGAACTAATATTGCTACTTTAAATTTTAAAGATCTGAAAGTCTTCATTCATAATTCTATATTCTGATTTTCGCGTGACTTTGACTGTCAAAGCTTGTGATTGGTAACGTTGTGTCGTGACGTGTCTGTGATCGAAGATTAACCCCCGAGATTATCCAGTTCCCAAAATGGATTCCGTGCATCTTGCCAATCATCAGACCTATCAACAGTGTCTACAGTTTGTATAAGTTTGGTCTGTTTCGTGTGAAATTATGATTAACTTAAATAACATTCGACCTTCTACAGCTAAAAATAGTGTATGAAGGCATGCTAGATATTATGGAGAGAGAGAGAAAAATGGGGTTAAACGTCCACTCGAGACAAACTAGGTCATTTCGGGACTAACATATGGTTTAATTTTATTTCAATAATTCGTTGCGCGTAGGGGTCTTTAGCAGTGGGAGGAAACCGGAAGACCCGGAGAAAACCCACGAGGTTGGACAGGCGACCCTACTCCTTGTCACGTACAACCGGGGAATCGAAACCACGCCAGTTGACTCAATGACAGACTTTATGATACAGCACGCACGTGCTTACCATTCAGCCATCCCCCCACCTAGATATTATGGACATCAGACCATGTGTAATGGCGTTTTATATAAATGGATAAACGTCTTCGATTTTAACAAGGCCAGTCGTATAGTCGTTCGGATGGGACGAAAACCCGAGATCCCGTGTACACATAGGCGTGCACGTAAAAGAACCACTGGCAGTTGAAATTCGATATAAGTGTAGGCCGTAGCGCTGCTGTCCTGGAAAAATATCCCTCATAGCACTGTATGGCATATCCCCGTCTTCATTAGCCCAGTCGGAGCAAAACAGAAGGACGTTAAACCTCATTTCATTTATTACCCCAGGTGGAATCCGACGTT